ATTTCCTACTGTAAATATATCAAAACTTAATTTTGATTAGTAATATGCATTGTTAAGAACTTCATTTGGACAACTTTAAAGGCGATTTTCTCAGTATTTTGATTTTTTTGCACCCTCAGATTCCAGATTTTCAAATAGTTGTATCTCGGCCAAATATTGTCCTATCCTAATAAACCATACATCAATGGAAAGCTTATTTATTCAGCTTTCAGATGATGTATAACCTCAATTTCGAGAAATTGACACTTATGACTGGTTTTGCGGTCCAGGGTCACATACAATTATTGTATATATTGTCTTATTTTTGTAAAAGATGCATGGAATTGATCAAAATGAGAGTAAAAGACATTTATAATTTTACAATTTAAAATTTATAATTAATCATTTTGAAATAAGTTTATTCATTAAAATTAAATATGATAAAAATAACAGAACATATAATTTATGTAAATGTACAGATATATTCCTTTATTTTGTAAGTTTATTAATATATGTGGTGATAAAAAAAACACTTTAAATAAATGTGGCAATCATAGAATGTATTTGTATTTAATTGGAAGACAGTAAAGTATAAAAAAATTCAAAAGTAAAAAGTAAACATACTTACATTTATACAAGACTACTGAAGCAAGTGGATGTGAAAGTAATACGATTACAGATTGTCAGAACACATCCTTTCATTTTAAGAGTAACTTTTAAAGCAAAACCCAAGCCAGTATTAACAGCGTTTTACACGGCTCTTTACAATCCTGCTAATCTGAGAGGGAATCCGGGTAAAATCCCAGCATGTGAACTTCCAAAATATCTGCAGCACAAGAGTTATGAGTCACTTCACATGCAGATATTAAGAGATTAAAATGCCAGTGTTTAATAACCCATCTCTGCATTTCACAGCAGAGACACAGTATGACGAAACGGTCACTATAACTCTAGCATGGCTCTTATCTCCCAGAGAACCTCTTAAAAACACCACAGAGTTATTTATGCATCCAAAGTCAGCCAAAGTCTTGCAAGAGAAGCACAGATAATGGCACAGATAAAATGCAAGAAATCTCTCTCTTGGAAGAGGAAAAAACTAATTGGCATTGAAAGCACATCATAAATTAATCACATCAATGAAAATAGCACAAACAGGCATGAAAGAGAGCTAAAAATATGAATGGAGTGAGTTCGTCTCAATACAAGTTAAGATCTACGCACTGCATCTGTGACGTGCTGTCGAATACCACAGAAAACTGGAAGTTTATTCACCTAGAAAAGACTCATATAACACATTTTCCTGCCTTTAGAGTTTAATGCATTGCTATCCTGGAATATTCCTTTAGTAGGTCATTAATGCGGTTGCACAGATGTACAGGAACTTTAAAAACATTCAAACATGCACCTGCGTACGTGTTTTTCAAAACATGCAACTTTACACACCTAAACGCCCTCCACGCTAGGTGTGTTTGTGCTAGCGTCTGACACAAAGCAGGTTATTTTTACCCATCAGAAGCGAAATCAGATTTCCTGACTCCCCACGGGAGATTCAACTTCCTGAGCTCAGTAACAAACCCATCTATACGTGCGTCAGTACCTGTAAAAGAGGCGAAAAAGCTAATGGAAAAAACCATCAGAATGCATCTGGATGGGCCGAACGCAGCAGGAGGGAGTGAAAACAACAGCTCGGATCAGGAGGGTGAAGAGATCATGAACACACGGCCCACCGCTGTCGGCTTTATCTTACTTTACTCTTGATGTTATACTGCACTGAAATCCCTTGCATCACCGCTAGCATGCATGTCTCACAAGAAAAAATAAATCTAATTAGAAAATCCAATTATGATATGGCTCAATTTCAAGAGTCAGATCAAAGGTAGTCTGGGCTTCAGGCGGCACGACCACATACTGCACACAAAAATCCCCAAAACGGCAAGCGCCAATCTGACTGACTGGCATTATGCAACTTCCATGAGTCAGTGTACGTGAGTTTTTATCAGTTTGCCAGGTTTATGGCAAAATTTTGAGAAATGTAGCATTATATCACTTGCTCACCAATGGATCCTCTGCAGTGAATGGGTGCCGTCAGAATGAGAGTCCAAACCACTGATCTATATAAATGTCTGGATAGCTCATTGCGTTCTAAACTGCTGACAGGCAGTGAAGCCAGTGTTCGAGCCACCATCTTACTATTCCCTACCGGCAGAGATCATCATTGACTGACAGCCAAAACACTGACCTAAAATTACCCGATCTGAAGTCTATCAGTCACATGGGATTAGTTTTTGTGTTGTGTATGCAAATTAATTTTTACTTCAGATGTTATCTGCAATGTTTATGGTCTTTTTTGGCAGGATAAGCGATATATTTAAATAGTTAAAGGTATAGTTCACCCAAAAATGAAAATTCTGTCGTTAATTACTCACCCTCATGGCGTTCCAAATCCGTAAGACCTTCGTTTATCTTCAGAACACAAATTAAGATATTTTTGATGAATTCCGAGAGCTCTCAGCAAGGATCCTAACACGATCAAGGTTCAGAAATGTAGCAAGGACATCGTTAAAATAATCCATGTGACATCAGGGGTTCAACCGTAATTTTACGAAGCTAAACGTAAAACTGAACGTAAACAACGTATGATGTTCTGTGTCAGCTGCGCCACGCGGATACGTTGTTTTCATTCAGATCAAAGCGTAAACAACGTAGAAAAAGCAGCTTGACACAGAACAGCATATGCTGTTTATGTTCAGTGGATATTCTCCAAAATGGCGCTATAGGGTGAAGTGGAGGAGACGAATTGTTGAATAAAGTCGTTATTTTTGTTTTCTTTGCGCACAAAAAGTATTCTCGTAGCTTCGTAAAATTACGGTTGAACCCCTGATGTCACATGGATTATTTTAACGATGTCCTTGCTACGTTTCTGAGCCTTGATCGTGTTAGGATCCTTGCTGTCTATGGGAGGGTCAGAAAGCTCTCGGAATTCATCAAAAATATCTTAATTTTTATGCTGAGGTCTTGCAGGTTTAAAACAACATGAGGGTGAGTAATTAATGACAGAATGTTCATTTTTGGGCGAACTAACCCTTTAAGGTGGGTGTGTCTGCTGCGCACATCCAACACAAAATATATTTCTTTATGTACGGAATTATGCAGGAAATATGAACCATGAAGATATGTCTGGTATTAGTATGAGAAATTGATTCAAATATACAATGAATAATACAATACAAGCCTCTGTTACTATGTTGTTTTGAAATGAAAAGCTTACCATGCATCATCTTGGAAATAAAGCTTCATGTCTTTAAGTCCGTACAATATGTAGTCAGCGTTATTTCTCTGAAAAAGTTATGATGTGTATATTTTTAATGTCCTGATTGCAGTTACATTTATTTTGTAATTAAATTACGTAACGCCGTTACATGCCGTTACACTCCCCAACACTGCTGATTGAGCAACATCTATTTCAGACTCTCCAAGATCGCGCAAATATGCCGTTTTACTAGCATTACTGTTTCCATGTAAATTGTTATGTATACATGTCAAATTAATAATTAATTAAACCAACGTTTAAATCATTACCTGCTTCAAAATGAATGCTGTTAACGAAATCATTGTTGAAACATTTGCAGTTAGCCTACTTTACGAATAAAAACGCTATAATAAAATTACATAAAGTGTATATTTTTATTGTCCTGATTGAGCGACATCTATTTCAGACTCCAAAATCGCACAAATATGTTTACTAGCATTACCGTTTCCATGTAAAATGTTATGTATATGCTAAATTAATAATTAATTTAACCAACGTTTAAATCATTACCTGCTTCAAAATGAATGCTGTTAACGAAATCATTGTTGAAACATTTGCAGTTAGCCTACTGCATGAATAAAAACACTATAACAAAATTACATAAAAAGTGAATAACTGTACAAGGCGAATTAAAGTTTATTTATACAAAGCACAAATGTTTATTCAGATTTCAGAATGAGCACTTTGTCATTAGTAATGCATATGTTGAGGATTTTGTCTCTCTGATGTTCGTCATGTTCATCTGATGTTCGCTACTGTAATGTAAATGAACGTAACTTTTTAATAAGCAGGGGAAATTCCAGACATTAAACAAATAACCGTTTGCATGCTTAGGACGTTTGCATTGTAAGAATGTACAGGATTATTTCAGATATAAAAACGCCTTGTTGATGTTTTCTCATTAAAATCGTAAGGTTTCCTATTAATTCAATAGAATGTATGGGAATACTGGAGAATAGCAATATGGCGGCGCGGAGGCTTCACTTTCATGACATCGTGAGCAATCCAGTTCTCTATTATAGATCAGTGGTCCAAACATCTGATAATAACATCACAATAATCCACACCACTCCAGTACATCTTCAAACCATTGTTTCCGGGTAAATTATGAGTCCTATATCCATTATATTACTTCCGCCAGAGAAAAAGTCTGTATCGTGTTGTACTCTCACATTAAAATGTACACATTTTTCTCCTAATTTCTGGATAAAGATATACTATGAACAGAGGACTCATATTTTAGCTGTTGGATTTGTTTCTTGCAAACAGTTTTTCACTTCACAAGACATTAATTGCTGGACTGGAGTGGTGTGGATTATTGTGGTGTTTTTATCAGCTGTTTGGACTCTCATTCTGACGGCACCCATTCACTGCAGAGGATCTACTTTTGAGCAAGTGATGTAATGCTACATTTCTCCAAATCTGTTCTAATAAAAAATAAACTCATCTACATCTGGGATGGCCTGAGGGTAAGGACATTTTGTGCATTTTAATTTTTGGGTGAACTATTCCTTTAATCTAAGACCATGAAATCATACAATTAACTTACAGTAACTACATTTTTCAGTAGCCTGACAGTTTTTAATGAGACAAAACTTCAAAAAATATCAGAAATGTAGCACTTGAAACCTTGTGAAAACTTTGCTACAAAGTGAAAATGTTAAAAAGGGCATTCAAACAAAGTAGTGCACACAAATTCAGCCTCATTCATCAAACATGAGAATACCAAAAAAACCATTATATGTAAATTGTCACATTCAACTTAATGCTACAATTATGTTATAATGATTTTACAGACTTTTTGTAAGGCCAGTAATTTCCTCTGCGTTTTCTGCAGCACTTTTTGAATGAATGACCACTGTCAGGCTATTAGTGCATTTACCTGTGCACATGTAAAAAAGGAAATTATGGGCGGTCAGGTGGCCACATTTAGTCAAAATTATAGCTATGGGTTTGAGTTGTGCATGCATTAACTCATATCTATAGAGCAGAGTCTTTTAAAAGTGTTTCCATGCCAAACTCCACATTAGACGGAGCTGTAAATTCCCACTGACTCTCCAAAAAAATTAATCCTATGCCAAGAGATGAAAATAATACAGAAAAAAACAAAACAAAAAAAACAAAACAACGCTTTGAAGTTCCTCCTCTGCAGAGAAAAATGCCGTCTAGACACGTGCGAGTCTCAAAAGCCTGAACAATGTTGCTCATAATTACATACGGGAGGTTTAGTGCTGCTTCGTGAGTCTGTTTGTGCTGAATTGAATTTTTTCGTGAAATGTACCGTGCACCGTGAGCTCTGCCTGGATCTCGCTGGTCATGTTGCCGCCGTCCGTCTGGCAGATGTATATCCCAGCATCCTCTTCGGTCAGGTTGATGATCTGCAGGCTTCCCCCGCCAATCACAGCAAAACGCTCACGGCTGAAAAAAAAAAACACAGAGAAAGAGATACGAGAAGATGAGGATGTGTTAAAACGACTTTTGCTCTCAGCGTTTTCAGGAACGCCACTGTAACGCCGGATTGAGATGGAATCGAAAACAGGATACAGTATGGATTTCACTTCCTGCGGCTTTTCCTTTATGGCTTGATTGCACTGAAAGCAACTTCCCCAGAGTGTTTCACTGGAGGTTTCTCGAGAAAAACAAACTACTGTTCCCAGTTCCTCCCCAATGATTCGGAGGCAGGAAGAGACAGAGAGTTAATCTAAAATGAGCTGAGAATGGAAAGAAAAAAAAAATCAATAGTCACACACAACAGAGGAGAGAAAGCAAAGAGGAAGGATGAAGAGTCGACAGGGTCCCGCTGAACATAGTCAGACCTCCAAACCTCACGTCGCTTTATTAGAAAAACACCCCTAGAGGGGAAAGAAAAGAAATCACCAATTACTGAGTTTGACTAAGAACGGAGAGTAAACCAGCCAGGAACGATGCCTTCCCACATTCACCCAGCAAAATCCACCCGCTCACTCGTCAAGAAGTTTCTTCCAACACACCCGAGTGTCAAACTGCAGCTCACAGTGACAATGACAACGGCTGAGCCAATTCTGGTGTAAACTGGTGTGAATTCTAATAGCAACTGAGACATGAATGCAGCAATTTTAAATAGCATGCATTACCATTCAAACGTTTGGTGTCAGTATAAAAAGAAATGAATACATTAATTCAGCAAAGACGCATTAAACTGATCAGTGGCAGTAAAAATATGTTAGAAACTATTTCTATTTCAAATAAATGCTGTTCTTTTGAACTTTCTATTAATCAAAAAATCCTTAAAGTTAAAATGCATCATGGTTCCCACAAAAACATGAAGTAGCACATCTGTTTTCAGCACTGAAAATAATAATAATAAATGTTTCTTGAGCAGCAAATCAGCATATTAGAATGATTTCTGAAGGATCACGTGACACTGAAGACTAGGGCTGGGTATCGAGTTCGATACTTTTTAGGCACCGACCGAAATGCCTCGATACCATCGAGTATCGAAAAACGTCTCGTCGTTCGGTACCGAATTTCGATACCTAAGGGGTTAATCTCATCAGCATCAGTGAGCCAATAAGCCTGCAGCACTAGCCAGTTAGACTAGAAGAGGTGCGAAGCAGATCGATCAGTGTTTGACATCCGCGAGAGCGATTCGAAAGCGCATGGAGCAGTCTGCTCTCTTTAGCTCTCATGGTACTGTAATACACCGATCGGTCTGCACAGTCGGTCCGCGTCAAGTCGAACACACCTACTAGTTAACACCGGTTACACTCAGAGATGTGGCGCACACGTGAGGCTGTAGTGTGAATGCGTCCCAGCCCCCTTAGATGTAAGGCTACATTTA